TCAAAACGTCAATTATCATTAATGCGAAACGTCAATTACCATAAAGCCTATTTTATTATTAATTAAACCAATTGACACACATTACACATGAGACACAAATAGTTTTACATGTTCATCCATAACTTTGAAAATCTACCTGAGGAGAAGTACTTGTTTCCAAAGTAATGTTCTCAATTATATGAATCTTAATTAAATTTTATTGTAATATTATAAATTTAATTTTATAGCTAGCTAGAATACTTTTTAGTTTTTGTGTTTTTCTTGTTAATGAAGAAATCATGATTACTATAAGTTTATACTTGACTTCTTGCTTGAAGTTTTTCGTATAACATTTTTTGCTAATGTCTAGAGGGAATGATCCGTTTATAAATTTTGAGTAAATATCTTTTCCGGTCCACAATAAATTTTATGATGCCCGCTTTAGTTCCTAGTAAATAAAAAAGGCTATTCGTGGTCTCTAAGAAATTCAAAGTGGACCTATTTTAGTCCTTTTGAGGGATTAATGTGGGTCTTTTTTGAATTTGTGAGGGATCACGATTTCAACTAAATGAGTCCTTTTTGAATTTCTTAGAGACCACGAATAGCCTTTTTATTTACTAGTAACTAAAATGGGTATCGTGAAATTTGCTGAGGACCAAAAAGGGTATTTACTATAATTTTTTTTTTACAAATTACACTAAGTATGACCGGTCGTATATTCTTTATTGAAGTATGATCAGTTAGATATAGTATAATTTGTAAGAGTTTGTAAATAATTTTTTTTAAATATAATATTTCTCAATGTCCAGATATATTTTTATAAAAAATACTAGTGACTCCGTTTGTCGTTGCAAACAAAGGTACTTTCTTGAAAAAGTCCGTGAGACAGATGCTCTGCTCCAAAGTAAGAAATCCAAAATTATGTACTTAATATTACTTGATGTTGTGATTCTTCTGGATGTAATGTTTGATTGTAGTGTCTGACCTATGTCTTCATCGTATGCTTTTAAAAGTATAAGATAAATTATAGGGATTGTTTAAGTGGTACATGTTTGATTTCGCTTAAGTAAGGTTTTGAGTTTAAGTCCATATGAATGCAAAATATTTCCTTTGAAAAAATTAGTCCCACCATAATGTTGATATTCCTAGCTTGAACATGATTGTCTCATGTGAAAAATACTTGTAGTTTATCCACACAAAAAAAGATTTAAGACAAGCTGCCGTTCCATGGGGCCCCAATTAGGGGAGATTTACATTTGAATACTTAACAATTTCTCCCATAAATGTAAGTATGATGGGTTACTATCCAAGAGTGAGTTATTCGAAGATTTGTTCTGATATCACTGTTAGGTAGTGGCTAGGGGGCTCAATCGGAGGAGAGTATCATCCATGCACCAAATGGTGTAAGCGACAAACTCATAATATAAGACTCTGACGTTACATCTCAATTCAAAATCTTAAGACATTAGATTATAAATTTTTTTTTCCGGTAAACAATTTATGGATCTTTTTACTTATACGTGACGTGGGACTTTTTATTATTTACACTTCAATTTCCTACTGTAAAAACCGCTACTCTACCCCAAAATAAGAGCATTAAAATTATCTGAATATAGTTTCTTCGTGTCATTATTCTTCCTTTGTCATCAATCTTTGTTTGTATTCTATGACCTATATCCTATGCTTTAAAAAGTAAAGGACAAAACTATCTGAATATTATTTTTTCGGGTCATTATTCTCCCTTCGTCATCAATCTTTGTTTGTATTCGATGACGCATATATATTCTAGCTTTAAAAAGCAAAGTACAGACTGCATTATTGTACGGTTAGTTTAGAGAATATGTAAGACTAGGATAGACCAGGTTTTTGCTTAAATAAATTAGATTTTTGTAAAATATTTTGAGTTAGATGTATTAATTTACGGAAATATGTCTCTTCAGTCGCTGAAAAAAAAAAAGAGAAAAATATTTTTGCAGTTAATACAGATAAATTATCTGCATTTATTTCCAAACAACGTCGTTTTGGGATTGAAATATTAGAAAATTATAATTATAAAGACTATAATAACCATGAAATAAATTAAAATTACAAAAATACCATGATTCCTGCCCCAAACGACGTCGTATAGGGCTTACTACAGATAAGTTATCTACAGTAACTGCAGAAAAAGCGAACTCAAAAAAAAAAAGTATCTACAACAGTCACATGCTTTTCAAGATATAAAATCCTATCCTAAAAAGTATGTGTCAGCAGATAACTTCTCTGCAGCAACAAGAGATTAATAACACCGATTAATTTAATGTAGGTTAAATTATTGGGGTTTTGACCTAAGAAATGCAAATTTAAAAAAAAAATCACCTGTTTAGTTCATTGACCAAATGTTTTACCGGACTAATGCATGAAGACGCGTTTCAGGTGATTATGTGTTTAGTCGCGCATCTGATACATGCGCGTTTCTGACAAATGTGAACACGTATGTACCATGCATGTACGTGTCTAAACACGTCTATACCAGGTGCGCATTTTTGACAGTGACGCGACTATGCCACGGAATGCGTGCCTGGATATGATGCATCTTGGTATTGTGCTTGTCAGATTTGTCAGAAACACGCACCTGGTACAGACGTGTTAAGACACGTACCTGATACAGACGTGTTCAGATTTGTCAGAAACACGCATGTGTCAGGTGCGCGACTAAACGCGTAAAAACCTGAAACGCGTCTTCCTGAATTAGTCCGATAAAACATTTGGTCAACGAACTAAACAGGTGAGTTTTTTGGAAATTTGCATTTTGTTGTTGTTAAAAACCCTAAATTATTGGTTTTTCTTAGCCTATATTTAAGAAAATAAAAAGTCTGGTTTAGGTGTGTTGACTTGTTGAACATTGTTATGGATATGAATATCATATCCCAACTACCTACTAGAATATCTGGTGAGATATGAAATCAGCAACATCTCAACAACTTCAAACAGCCAAAGGGTATAAGATAAGGATCATATCCCAACAGAAAGAGGTTGAATCCTACTACAATTGGGGAATCTCAAAAGGCACAAGCCTAGGAAGGTAATCCTATAAATAAGAGCCTAAGGACCCCAGGTAAACACTCATAACACATTTACTACTTTCGCCCATGCTGTGCACACACCCACGCCTTGGCTATAAGCCTATTGCTTGTGCGCAGTGATTGGGACCTCGGCTATAAGCCTAGTATACAGTTGATATACACTATCTCTGAGCGCATACCTTACGATATAGCAATACGGTCTATCCAGGACCTAACAAACATAATATCTTGAACATGTAGAAAAACATGTTAGAATTTAGGCTTATAGTAAATGGTGTATATTTATTTTCATAAAATGAATTAAATTGAGAGCTTTTAATTTTTTTTTCTAAAATTCTATACTAATATTTGATTCACTATGTCCAATAATCACGATAGGTTGAGATACTCTAGATGAGTCTCTTACTGATGATGGTGGAAGATTGCTGGTGATTGCTCTCCTTTGGGTGTATTCTAGTCAACAGAGGGTGTTTATGATGGTTTGACAATTAAGTTACATGGTTTGAGCCTATATAAGGAATTCAATACATCGATCCAGAACTTGGACAACTATTAAACATGTGCATATTTATTGGGATTGTCTAATTGATAAAGGTATTAAGTTATAGTATATATAACGTATAATAACTTAAAGCCTATGCTGGGCAGAAACAAAAGTTAATAGTGTATACATATATTCACTTGTGTACGTGTAGGATAGTTCTTGTTAGGTTATGTTAAGTAATGCTTTCTGGCTTTCCCTAAATAGATCAAGGCATGTTTTGCAAAATGTCAATTCCACGTTTGGCTTCTTATTTATTATAGGTTTTTCTTTTAAGCTTGACCTTACTTTTTTGTAAAAACATATACGTCTGACAAGTTTATTTAAAAAACTAACATTATATGAAAGTTGAAGTGTGTATCATTTTAAAAGATATAAGTTGTGTCATTTTAATTTTTAACATTATGTACTACGGATAATATATAATTAGAAAATGAAAAGTTATTTTTTTCTCTCTCGAGATTAGCTGAAGTGACTCAGGAGAGAATTTTTTTTTTCATGTTATAATTATGTACTATTCGTAATATATAATGTTAAAAATTAAAAGGACACAACTTGTGCCCTTTAAAAGGAGAAACCCTTTTTTCCCCTTATATGAATACTTTTAAATATGCTAAGAAACTAGATATTTTTAGTTTTCTAATTTAAATAATTTTTTTAAAAAATATTATATTTCTTATGAAATTAATGGGGCATGATCAACACAATTTTAGATTTGATTGAATTTAACTATTCATATATCTAAATAATTAAAGCTGATATAAATAAGATCTAAGACTAAAATTGAGAATATAACTTATACTAATATAGAATGATCATATTTCAAATATTAATATGTTATATTAATTTATAATCCATTGATTATATAAGTATAATTAATAGATTTTTAATTATATATATATATCTAAATAATAAATAAATATTTTAACTTGATAGATCAAATGATAGTTTTGGTTTTCATCATCTACGGGCTCAAGAATCAGATTTTCATGATTAATAACAAGGTATTAAAAACTTGGTAAGGTGTGCTTGCCATAAAAACTTTGTAATGAAGAAGTGTTTATGCCGGGATATAATAATGGAAAAGTTTCTACATGAATTTATATATCAAAACTCAATCTAATTTAATGTCGCCCTTATAACTTGATTAAGTTAATTATTTAATATTTTAATATATACGAGAACTTAATTTGATGAATAAGACAATACTTGTAATCTTAAAAAAAAAAAAAAGAGAGAATAATACAATACTCGTACTAAATAATTAATAAGATTGTAATGTTATATGCGACATTAGCGGAATGTGTGATTGGAAAGAAACAAAAAATTCTGAGCATGATTTATCTAGTACATGATTTTCCATTGATCAATTCCTTAATTCTTTCAATTTCGAACTCCATTTATCCAGTACATGCTTGTTAAAATGCTTCTGTAGCAAACATAGCGTAACAGACTATTCATCAACATATAACGTAGTGACAACCACTTATTGTGAGCATAAATTAACAAGATTCCTTCTTAGTGGTTTTAATTAACAGATGAGTGATAAATACAAGGAATCAGGTACAACTCATGTTTTTTTCTTACAGACACACCAAATGATTCAGTCATGTCAAGTTCTTCAGGCTTATTCCCATCAGGCATCTTCCAATCAAAATGGAAAAGCAAATTTGCTAGTAAGAGTTCAACAGTAGCAACGCCAAATATAGAGCCAGGACACATCCTTCTTCCAGCACCAAATGGGATAAACTGAAAATCTGTACCTTTGTAATCAACTGTGCTATCAAGGAACCTTTCTGGATAGAACTTCTCAGCTTCAACCCAGTAGTTTGGATCCCTTGCAATTGCCCAAGCATTAATAATGACCTTACTCTTAGGTGGTATCTCATAACCATTGATTTCACATCTCTCACTGCATTCCCTTGGTAGTAATAATGGAAGAGGAATATGTAGACGCAAGGTTTCTTTGATAACTGACTTTAAGTATTTAAGTTCATGGAGTTTAGCTTCATCTACACGCCCTTTACCATCAAAGACCCTTCTTATTTCAGCTTGTGCTCTTTCCATCATCCTTGGATTTTTTACAAGTTCTGACATTGCCCAATCTAAGGTTCTCGCTGTTGTACTGGTTCCACCAGCGAAGACATCCTGAAAGAAATGCTAACATGAACAAATATACCAACAATTTTTTTGCAGCACTACTGCATTAGTATCAAATGACAACACTAACTTGACAAACAATTCATTTTCCCCTTACGTAATTTCCCTGTAAAAACATTTTTCAAATTCAAGAATCTTTTTCTAGTCAAAAGATGGTTAATTAACAGTTATTTAAAATCTGAGTATAATTCGAGTCTTGCTTTCCCTCTGCGTGCAGCTAGCAGAGCTCAACAAACAAAATATTGTAAGCATTTAATTCAACTGCAGTTAATTAATTTTTTATTTTTTTTTAGATATTCTAATCGGTTCATCGATTCACGATTAGTCTGATTCGGAGCGGGTCCTGTGATGAAGGCTTCAAACCCCTTGCAAAGACGATATTGGAGAGGATCGAACACATGCAGTTAATTGATCTTTGATTATATCTATTTGGAATTACTTTTGGAAATTATGTGATTTCTAATAGAAAAGTACTCACAAACATAGTTGCTTTGATAATGCTGTCTGACAGAGGATGCTCAAGGTTGTTCTGCTTCTGAAGCTTTAGCAGGACTTCAACAAGATCTTCCCCTCCCTTTGCATTGATTGGCTTTGTTTCTGAACTTGTGTCTTGGTGATCTCTTACAATTTTCTCAAGTATCCTATCTATTTCATGATGAAGCTTCTCAGCTTTGGACCTTATTCCTGTCAAAAATTGAAGCACTTCAAAGGAAGGATACAAGTCAGCTATAGAGAAACCAGTCATTACTTTTGAAACATCTTTCATAGCAGCTACGAATGCTTCTTGGTCCTTGATTGTGCCTCCTAAGGCTACTCTTGATGTTAAGTTACATGTCAATGAATTGATCGCCTTACTGAGATTGAAAGATGACCCTTCACTCAAACTTATATCTTTGATAAGTTTTGATGCCTCCTCTTCCCTAATTGATCGAAATGATTCAACACGCTTTGTAGTTAGTAGCTCCAAAGTGCAAATCTTTCTCATCTGCCTCCAATAACTTCCATAAGGGGAAAAGCTCATGCTCTTTGAACCATAAGTTACAACATCTGCAGCAAGAAGATGAGGCCTATTTGCAAAGATGATGTCATGTGTCTTCATAACTTCTTTGGCCATTTCAGGGGAAGACACCACTATGGTGGAAAGTCCACCAAGTTTCATATGCATCAGAGGTCCATATTTCTCTGCTAATTTTGCTAGGCCTTGATGAGGCATTGCACCAAGCTGGTGCATGTTCCCTATAAGAGGCAATTTTGCGGGTCCTGGTGGTAACTTGGAGTTTGAAGGCTTGGTTTTTGATCTCCAAACTATGCTAAACACCATGAACAAGAAGAGAAAGAAGGACAAGATTGCAGGTAAGGGAATATTGTGGAGACCCAACTCCATAATTAAGAAGGAAAACATACTATCTCAGATGTCAGATTACTGAACTTAAAGATAAGAAAGGCATGGCGCATATATATATGAAAAAATTTATGGTACACGAGGACCACTGGTTCTTCAATTGAAATTTTGACATCTGGTTTAAAAACTTTTAATTTTTTTTTTCTCTCCACTCTCGTCAGCTTTTTCACTGTTTCTCACTGCTCCATATGCTTTCTATGTATAGGTAAGGGAATGATTTATTATTAAAAAATAATAAAATAATCTAGTTTTGTCTTTTGCCGTGATGATTTCAAGAGTTTGTAGGTGAGGAATCTGAAGACATTTAAAATTAAAGTTATATTCCAATAGATCAAGGCATTTTCTTTAGACATATATTAATGTAAGTTCATCCTTCCCCTTCTAGAAGTTCTTATATTTAAAGTTCTTTCTTATTTGTCAAATAAATTTGTTCAATTTATTTAAATTTTTTTACAAGAGAAACATTAAACCTTTTAATAAAAAGAGAAAAAGAATGAAAAATTAAACAATGACTACTATGGAATTTAATCTTATACTTCTGTTCCATATAACATAATTCTATCAATTTAGCTTATTTGGAGTGGGGTTTATTTTCACTTTCCTGCATTATCCTTTGTCCATTCCAACACCCCATAATCAACCTTAAATATTTGAGTACGTTATGATTTATTATCTTTGTACTTGTAATTCATGTAATTGATCCACTTACTATATAATATATCATTATAATTATATAATGACTCCAACGAGTAAATCTTAAGTATAGATTTAATTTAAGGATTTAAATGTCATAATTAGATTCAGAATGTGATTTCGGGTATTTTGATTGTAATCATGACTAGGTCATGAACAGTGCCTTTGGTCGGGTATTCTACACTATGTGTAGCACCCGGTAGAGCATGAAAATGAGCAAAATGAGTTTAGAGACTTAATTTGGAAATTCTGATGCCAAATATGAGTTTAGAAAGAAAAATTGTATAGTTTAGACACTTTTCGTGAAAGTTTCACGAATAGTGTTTTCTGCCGGGTATTTTGTATCGCTGTTTAAGCAACCGGTAAAGTCCAGAACTAAATAATTGATGAAATAAGAATAAGAAAGTCTAATATATGCGAAACAAGTCATGTGTAGACCAAAAATGTTAAGTTTATAAGTTTTACATGTGCCAACTGAGCTAACATGATTTGATTTCTTCTATTTTTTTCTTATTCTATTTTTTTTTGACATATTTGACATTTTTTTTACTATTTTTAATCTTTTATTAAGTGTTCTAAATTTTAATAACATTCGGTCTTTTTTTCTTCTTCTTTTTTTATCACTTTATTTTTTCTTTTAAAAGTGGTAGAATAATTATATTTAGTTAATTTTCTAACAGTGTTAGGAAGGGTATGAATAGAGAAAACCACACAAGGGAATAAGTGATTAAAAAAACACGAGTATAAGTGATTCAAAGCAATAACACTAGATTTTTTTTGAACTATTCCCTTAAATTAATTATTTTCATTCGATTGGATGCTTAAGTAAAATTTGGAGCATTCCAAAAACTTGGAGTCTCATTTTATAATCATTGATTTTATAATTTATAAATAAGTAAACTAATTATAAGATAAAAAAAATTTGTAAGTATAACGTAAAAAATAACATCAATATATCAATTTTGTAACATCCCCGTCTCGAGCCGGTTCAGTTAACATACATATGATAAAAACAGAAAACAGCGGAAGACTTGACTTATGAAAATACGAGCTAACTTTTTCTTTTTCTTTTTAAATTCTCATTCGTCGTAAACAAAAATCGGGCAGAGTTTCCTCTATAAATCGGACAACTGGGGATTTTCCAATCCCACTCAGAAGCATTTCCTGATAAAAAGTTTATACAAATATAATCAAATGCCCATCCATAGGCGCATGCATAACTTGGCTCAGTGCCACTACATCTAACAGCATGCAATCCCATACATAAACATAACTGAATACTACATCATCATATAACGTGCCTGAATACTCAAATGTACATGCATCAAACTGACAGACATGTACAAAACATATACAGGCCATATACAAAATAAAGGATCAATGTCATGATCCATCAAAGGCGGAAATACAAAATGACATGAATATACTTCCAAAAAGTAGTAGCCTACAGCCACTCAAAATCTGATCCGTCAACTGCCTCAGCCACGTGTCGTGTCCCTGCCTAGTGAGGACTTACCGGGAATCTGGGCACCTGAAAATATGTCCCCAACGAGGGGTGAGATTACAATCTCAATAAGCTCCAGGTTTATAGAGAATTCTCCATACCCCTGGCTCACTCCTGCATGAAAGTCAGATACAGTGTATACAAATACAACATATAACAGATATCATAACAGAACAGAGCATATATCCACATCATATCAGAGATGTGCGCCGTCATTCCCAAGGGAGGACCCCAAGCGGAAATCAACGCACGTGTTCCCGAGGGAGGACCCCAAAGCGGAACCAGACATATCAGAGGCGTACACCATCAGTCCCGAGGGAGGACCCCAAAGCGGACATCCGGGTACTATACAATCAATGGCCAGAGATTGTTACAGAAATCATATTACAGAAGTCATATCAGAGCAAAACATATCATGTTATCAAATAACTCTATATGAATGCATCTATACAAAGCATCTAAATCACAGTCATACAGTCCAACCATAGTTCACTAACCATGGTGGAGCACTCAAACAGGAAAAGACTCCTTAAACATAGAGCTTACCTCTTGAAGCTTTACCAATACCCTTACTTGTTGCACAAGTTACTTATATATCTTCAAGAGATTCTGATTCCTTTTTAGTCCCTAGGTACACCTAGAGCAAGAATCCACAAATACCAATTAATAAAATGCCATCATGCCTAGCTTTCACATAAGGCATACATCTTATCGCTTCTTTTCATTTCTTTGCATTTTTGCCAATACACAAGTCTAGACCTCTTTATAACCGTTGGTGTTCTTTAATTTAATAATCCATTCCCTTACAAATTTCCAACATAAATCATAGCATTTTACTTTAAAGGACCGTGGGCCTAAAATTAGGAAATCAATATATTTTTCCATGATTTCTTTTCAAACCATTTCACTTCATGACTTATCATTTTCATACTTTGAAACACACATATTTTATTAAAATAAAATATGACAACATCTTTCCCTAAACACCCTATATGTCGAATCCTTTAAGGGAATTTCCAAGGATCCTTCTCTTTTACAATACATTTTCCTCACTTAATTTAACAACTACACGTACATAAATGTATAATATATACCAAGTTCCTATTTAATTTTTGGAAATCTCAAGCTCTTTAAATCCTTCAAGGCCGAACATCAAGGGTATGTTTCAAAGGATTTTCTTTCAAATTTAACATTCTTACTAACTCATCAAATTTCCTCTTATTCAAGCACATTAAACCTTCCCAATACATACAATAAATCTTTGTGCATCACCCCTAATTACCCTATCAAGGCCGAAATCTAGGGTATGTCATCATGGGATTTTTTTCCAATTTTTATACATGTTCATATGCTTATTCCACATTCCTATATCCAACACATCATCATTCCATCATCAATTCAAATTTTAAACTAATTTATTTCACACCAACACATGCTCACAATTTCTATGACACAAACCATCAAAATAACATCATGGAAACAAAGGTTTCTTACCACTAATCAACTTCCCAAAGCCTAGAAAGCAACCTCCAAGCCAAGCTCCATCAAAAACTCACCTTTTCTCCTCCAATGAATAGTAACTCGAAAATGAGAGGAGGAATAACTCTTCACACACTCAACTATAGCTCAAATGGATAGGTGGAATGGATTCATTGAGTGGTTTCCAATCAATTTCATGTGGTGGGTCATTGGATTTGGTGGATGGATGATGAAGAAATCAAAGAAGGAAAATTTGAAACCCTAGCCCCTTCCCCTCCATGTGTAGCTCGGCCATGCAAGAGAGAGAAGAAGAAAATCTGAAATAAATAGTGTTTCATTTAAGTGACAAGGCTATATAGGCACATGTGGCCCTTTTCATCGGATGTTTTTTTATCGCGTATTTTAACTTAAATTGACCCGGAACTAACTTAAAGCTACGGACATATTTTTATTTTTCTAAAATCATTTACATTAATTTTTATTTGTTACAAAACAATATTCATAATTCACAGTATAGTTTCTGCACCGTTTTTGACGAAATGCACTGTGAATCACTAATTGTACTTCGCTCATTTCTGAACTTAAAACTTATAAACTTATTCTTTTCTTGGGCCTATATTGACTTGCTTGGCATATATTGGACTTTCTTATTCTTATTTCATCAATTATTTCTTCTGGACTCTACCGGTTGCTTAAACAGCAGTACAAAATACCCGGTAGAAACACTATTCACGAGATTTTCACGGAAAGTGCTAGACTATACAATTTTTCGTTCTGAACTCATATTTGTCATCAGAATTGTCAAATTATGTTCCAAAAATCATTTTGCTCATTTAAGCTCTACCGGTTAATTCACAAAACTGTAAATTCTCCGGCAGAACGCACTGTTCATAACATCGTCATGATTACAGTCAAAATACTCGAAATCGCTCACTGAATCTAATTATGGCATTTAAATCCTTAAATTAAATCTCTAACTAAGATTTACCAGTTAGGGTCATTATAAATTTCATGTCACTACTTCTTATAGGGGAGATTTATATTTACAAATTTGTTGTTTACAAACTCTTACAAACTACACTATGTACTCCCGGAAGTATACTAGGTTACACTATGTACTTCCGGAAGTAAATAATGTAATTTGCAAAAAATTTGTACATTTTTTTTTTGTAAATGGATCTTTTCCTTTCCTATATCTTCATTTTTTTTCTTAGAAGTGGCTTTCATGAACTGGACATAGGGCCCGTTTGGATGAGTTTTTTTCTCTCCAGAAGTTGCTTTTTTTATTGAAAAAAAGCACTTTTCATTTTTAGTTGGTTTGGATGTCTGCTTTTA